CTTATTTATTCTCTCTGCCCACCAGCCCCACCTATCATCCCTCTCCTGCCTAGCCACCGGCCATTTGGCTTTTTATTAGACCAATCAGGTGCCTTAGGCAGGCCAGATGAAACATCTTTACATAATTAAACACATGCAGCAGAAACAACTGTAACACCTTCACATAAAGTCATATTCCACAGTGTAAACAAATGTAACACATCTTTGCCTAAAGTAATTTCCACAACAGCTGGGTCCCTGACATGGTTCAGTGAGAGAAGGTGCTTGTCACCAGGCCTGAGTTTAGTTCCTATGGTGGAAGAAAAGAGCCAATCACTGATCGCTCTCCTCTGGCCTCCACACATGCACAGTGGCGTGCACCTGTTCACCCATGCACACACAAAATACAACGTCATTTTTTTCTTTTTCTTTTTTCTTTTCTTTCTTTTTTAAGATAAGCATGGGGCTTGAAAGATGGCTCAGAAGATCACTGGTTGCTCTCTGGAAGAGCTAGGTTCAGTCCTCAGCACTCACATGGTGGCTCAAAACCTCCATAAGTCCAGTTCTAATTATATATACACACAGGCACTCACTCAAACAAAACGAAAATGAATAAATATTTAAAAGAAAGATTAAAAAGCCGGATGATGGTGGCGCACACCTTTAATCCCAGCACTCAGGAGGCAGAGGCAGGCAGATCTCTGTGAGTTCGAGGCCAGCCTGGTCTACAGAGTGAGTTCCAGGACAGCCAGGGCTACACTGAGAAACCCTGTCTCAAAACAAAACAAAAGATAACCATGGGTCACAAGAGCTGCACGATGGGGCTAAGACACGTCTTTCCGTGTGTGGGGGGTCTCCTCTGAGATTCCCGGGAACTTCTGGCTTACACCCGGGAAACACAAAGGTCATCTACACTTAGGCCATCTGCACGATCCAGGGCCATTTTAACGTTTTGCTTTGAAATACTCCCACGCACGAGGCCTGATTATTCCTGACATGTGGGCAACCTTCACGCCCGCGATGTTAATGACTCGGTGGTGCTGACCTATTACTGGGAGCAGGGGCGGGCGAGGACATCTGCAGCGGGTCCCTTCCTTCCGGGTCTGAGGGGCACGCTTGCCGGGGGAGCCTTTACCGCCGAGCCACCCCCTACCCCTCCACCCCGCACCCCTACCCTCCCCCCTCACCCCGCACCCCGCACCCCGCACCCCCGGGGTCTGGCGGGGCTCTGGGCCCCCACCGGACACATGGTGAGGCCTCCCTTCCCTTTCGTGCCCCCCACCCCTGCCTTTCCATCCTGAGATGCCGGCTCCGCACCCGCCGCCTTTACCCTCCGCAGCCCCGACCCCCGCACGCTCTGCTCTGCTCTGCTCGCCCGTCCTTCCCCGGCTCCACCACGCACGACGCACACCCGGCCGACCGGCATGCACCGCGCACCGCACCGCGCCCC